AGGTTTCAGGGTTTAGTGTTCGGGGTGGATGCGCCGTTTACTTTAGGAATATAGGGGCGCGCCCACTCATCGCGTAGTCCCGCCCCAACCACCCCAACTATTCTCAATTAGGGTTTAGGGTTCACCCCCCAACCCCCCTCAAGGGGGGGCTTTCCTGCTCTCCTCTTCCCCCCTCGCGGCTCACCATACATGCGCTTTTTGACAGCAAACACAGCTGCAATGGATTAGTGTCGGGTTGTGGGTCCTCGCGGCCTGTGCCGGCCGCTCGACGAGAAGCAAGCGTTCCCAACAAACAAATCACTTCTCGCACCCAGTGAGGGTTGCTCGGCAAGGCCAGGCAGGACAGGGCGGGCAAAGCAGGGCAGGGCAGGGCAGGGTGGGCGGGATGGAGCCAAGGGGGCTGTGGGGCCAGGGGGCCAGGCCAGGGGGCCAGGGGGGGCCAGGGGCCAGGGGCCTGGTCCTGGAATACCACCCAAAAACGCCAAAAAGGACCGGTCAGAGCATCCGGGTCCCTGGAATCTGCCAGCTGAGGGCCCCAGACCCCCCTGGGGGTACCCCCCACACCCCAGAAAAGACCAAAAACACCTCAGTGCTGGTGGGTTTGGTCCTAATTATAACGGACTGACGTCCGTATTGTCTGAGGCGTAGCCAAGTCATTTCCGTCCCCGTCTACCGGACCGTTCTGACGGGACGCTCGGCCGGGGGCCTCGGTCAGAGCCTCGAGCGCCCATGTAAATGGTCAGCGGCGCTCTCGGCAGTTTAGGGTTTAGGGTTTAGGGTTTAGGGTTTAGGGTTTAGGGTTTTCAATGGGCTTGAAGAGACGGGCCTCTTGAGGGGTGTTTTAGGGTTTTAGGGGGTTTAGGCCTTAGGGGTTTAGGCTTTAGGGGCTTAGGCTGTTTAGGGCTTTAGGGGTCGCTGATTTTTTCAATTGCCTTGAAGAAGGGCCTCTTGAGGGGTTTAGGGTTTTTTTTTAGGGGGGGGTTTAGGGTTTAGGGGGCCTTGGGAGGGTTCCTTGAGGGGTTCATGAAAGGGAGAAGTTGTTGTGGTTCCTGTTCAGTTTCAGAGCCCTGAAGTCTCGTTTGACCAAAACCAAGTCTGCGAACAAACCACTTCCGCAAGCTCCGAAGGATTTATAAGGTCTTGGTTCAAATCTTTCGACGTCCTCCTTTGTAGGGTTTTGGGACTATGCGGAGAGTGAAGGTTCAAGGCTACAGGATCCGCAGCATCTCCTAAACCCTAAACCCTTCTGGACAGGACTTATGGAGCTTTTCCAGGGGCGTCTGGGCTGCGAGGTGCAGGTGGTAATATGCCGTACCGTATTGGGGCCCTGCTCGGGTTTAGGGGAGAACGACAAACAACGGCCAACCTCGTGCAGAGGATAGGATACTTCGCCACTTCTTGGTTCTGCTGCTTCGAAATCAAATCTCGGTCGATTCAGCCGGCGCCTCCACAACAGCTTTCCGCACCGTCTTGGCTGTTGCCGTTGCGTTGGCATCGGCCTCCGCAATCGAGCAGACTAAGAGCAATCCCCAGAATGGTAGTGAGAGGTCGGAGCCACAAGCCGACATAGATTGAAGTCTGCTACATGTCGCGCACAGATTCCCGGGTGGGCATCTTGTCGCATCCGGCCAAACGACGAGGCTCCCCAAGAACCAAGCAGTCGACGCTCCCCCGAGTTTCTTGAAGGGCGTGTGGGGCCTTCTGGGTCGCATTGGCCAGGACCTGGCACCGCTGGGACATTGGGAGATATGATGGCTTTGGACTTCTCCAAGGTAGAGATGCTAACAGAACAAACTGGACAAGAAGATCACGAACACGATGCTACTGCTGCGAGTGGTGCTGGTGCAACCGATGGTGCTGGCGACTCGTCGCTGGTGATGCTTCGGCCGTCACTGCTGTGAAATGCCGGCGCAACATGACGCTAACGACGCCGACCGCGAGCATGAACAAACTCCTGGCAATGTTCATGATGTGACTGTGCAATGATATTGAAAGCAATGATGGTGACGGCGCCTAGGATGATGATAGTTGCGGTGGCAGCGCTGATGATGATGGTGGTGATGATGATGATGAGGAGGAGAAAGGGAAGTGCATTGGTGATGATGGCGGCGCGTTTGCCAGAGTTCATCATGCTCCTCGTGATCATACGATGTGGGTGACTACAGCGATAATCTTCCTTCACAGGATTTTCGATATCATCGTCACATCTGCGACGCGGAGTGGGCTTGGAGATGGAAGCCTTGAGGCTATTACTGCAGGTGGAAACGTGCCGGAATCAGAGGCTATCAATGCTTAGCAGCCTTGGAAAGTGCCATGTACCTCGGACTTTGACAGGAGTCGAACGGAACGGAACGGCCATGCCTCCAAGGTCGTGTTGACCTTGGCTTCAATGATTCGCATGCTCTTGTCGTGGACGGTGAGGGCCGGAATGGTGACCTGCAGCGGTTCCGAACTCTCAGAATACGAAATCCTCAGACCCACATCAACGTTTGCTCTGTGTCCAAAACCGAAACTCAAACTCTCCAAGCCAAGCCCCCCGGGGCCCCAACCCGACTTTCCTATTCCACTCAACAGCTTGCGAGCCTTCACGGTGACGCACATCTTGGGCTCTTGGCGGCCGAAAGGCTTCAATCCGTCCTTGTCCTGCCGGAGAACAAGGAAGGCTAAGGACATCAAAAGTTTGGGTTTTAGGTTTAGGGTTTAGGGTTTAGGGTCTAGGATTTTAGGGTTTTAGGGTTTAGGGTCCCCCGTAACAAATCCCTACCTGCAGCGAATCCGAAGAGTCAGAGCTGAGCCCAACATGCCCAGACTCACCAAAGAGGCCAATGCCATACTTCGTGGAAAACTCTTTCCTAAACCCTAAACCCTATACCCTAAACCTCTAAATCCTAAACCCTAAACCCCTACACCCTAAACCCTAAATGGCTTCTCTGGTCTGAAACCCACTCGCGGGCTGCAGGTCTCGTAATTTCGATGCTTCAGGAGCCGGAAAGCCACAGGGTAGCACCCAACTTCCCTGAAAGCTCTTCGCCCTGAAGCCCTGCATCCCAGCTCCGAAACTCCTACAGCCCTGTGGATCTCATCAACCCCGATGGACACCTATATAAACCCATACAAAACTCTATGAGCCCCCAATATGAAACTCCTACAAACCCCTCGAACCCTACTACAAACCCTTGAAACACCCATTAGAAAAACACTACCCCCTGAACCCCTCTAGCCCCACAAGCCACCCGGAAGGCACCCTTAATAAAACCCCCCATAAACACCCTTTGACTGTATAATCCCCCTCTCAGAAAACCCTCCTAAACCCTAAACCCTAAATCCTAAATCCCAACCCCTAAACCCTCACCCTTAAAAGGAACGCCGCGCAGCACCGGCCTCCTCGGGATCTTCGGCGCCCTTCCGACCCCAGGCCTTCGGAGCAAAAAAAGGAAAGCCCCGAAGACAATACAAACCGTTTCAGGTGAGTATAATTGATGCAAAGAACAAATCAATAAGGCGGAATGCTACTAAAGTTACTAAAGTCGTGGAATTGCGGTATCCATGTGGTACCGTTGCTGTTAGATCCCCCTTTCTGAACCCCCGCCCCCCTCGCCCACTTCCCTTCTCCCCTTTCCGAGGCCTCGAAAACCTCGTCGTCCTCCCAAGGCTCGAGCTCCTTCTCCTCGGCGGCTGCCTCCTCCTGGCACTTCGGGGGCGGGCTTTTTAAACAGACTCTGAGTTCAGAGCTTCAAGGGTTCATGGGATTTTTTTGGGGATTTAGCGGTTCTGTTCTCCGTCTTCACGTCGTTGTATGGACGACGAGTGACGAGGAACGATTTGAACTCTTGTTTGTGCCTCATACGACACATGTCTTGTCTCTTGCCAACACCAACTTATCACGATCTCCCGCCCTTCTATCACTCCGCAGCTCCTCCATGCGCTTCATGTCCCCAGTGCGCACGCAGTCCTTCAAGTGCCTGCGGCAATTGAGAAATCAGAGGGCTAAGACAGGTACGACGCATTACGACGTCTTGGCTTTGCCCACCTGGCACTGCCGGTCTTGCAGTCGTCCTCGGCCGTGCAGTACTCGCAGGTGGCGGGGGCCGTGGACGCCCAGCCTTGACTATAAAGGAAAGCCCGCCAAAAACGCAGTCCCTTTGAGAAGTCCCCTGTTTGGAGCAGACCCGGCCTTTGTACTTGCCCGATGACTCGTAGGTGTCAGTGACATTCAGCCTCGGCGCGAACAGGGTTCGCTGGAAAGGAGCCTTGTTTCTGATCCTGATCCTACCAGATTTCCGAGAGAGCCCCAGAATTCCAGAACCCTGAGCCCTAACCCTAAACCCCAGAAACTGAAGCCCAGGCGTCTTGCAGCTGAGGCCATCCTCCAGAGCTGTTGCGGCACAGCCATGCACAGCCGCTGGGCTTGGGCTTTGCTTGGCGCTCTTTCGGCCCGAGGCAAAGCTGCTAAGCTGGCGCTCTTTCGGCCAAAAGCAAACCCCTAAACACTGCACTGCACTGCACTGCACTGCACTCTGGAATCCTAGACCTCCAGAGTTGTAAGCAAGCGATCTGCCCAGAAATCAGAAAGGAGGACCCTGCACCCTCCACCCCACCCCAAGGCCTGACAGACCCGGTTCTGCTGCTGCCGGGGGTAGAAGCCGCATTCGAATCCCCAGGGCTTCTGCGGAACGCACTCCTGGAATTGGGGGTTTTGGGGGGATCGAAAGGTTTGGGGCTGAACCTAAACCGTAGGGCTTTTGGGGTCTAAGGCTTGGGGTCTGGGAGCCTAAACCCTAAACGGCCGTAGACCGGTTTAGGCTTTATTCTCAAGTGCAGAAGTTAGAAGAAGGGATAAGGATGATGAGTGCTGGAATTTGGCGTGAGGATGACAGTCTTCCAACTTTCTGGCTTCTACTTTAGTGTTTCGTAAGCCATATCGACTTTCTCCAACCTCAGCGCGGGTAGACCCTTACGATCCCTTGGAACCCCGAGAGTGTCGCTCTTCGTCATAGGGTCCCTGAAAAGGCTCCCCAATCATGATGCATGATGCTTTCAAGACTGCTGCTGGGGGATTTACTTCTCTGCGGTGATCGGACTCGCGCGTGGTGTTCAAGCAGACTTGGAGCTATCTGAACACCTGAGCTCCTTGCTTGGGGAAACTTGTGACACGGATCCTACCATGTCAGGTCGGAAAGTCACTTGGGGGTTTCAGAAAATAGGGGACCCTAATATAGTACCCTAAATAGTAGGATCCTTATTATAAGGACCCCCAAATAGTATACCCTAATTTTCGGAAACTCCCACTTCTCAACACCCAGACTTTGGGTGGATGAGCACCACGGATGTCATGACTGCTGCCCGCCATCGTTGTCCCATCCTTAAGTCTGACTGCTTCCCTCTCCTTGGTGGTCCAATGCAGGAAGAAGCCCTGCTGACACATGCACTCACCACGGCTGTAGCTGGTCGGAGCCACGGTGGTCCTAAGCAGCGGAGGATGGCCGGAGCAAAGGACATGAGACGTCTACCCTATAGTGCATGACGGAACATAGGGCTTTAGGGTTTGAGAGTGTTGTAGGGTAGTAGGGTTCAGGGTTTAGCTTCAACTACAGAGGGATCCTTACGATGATGTCGGATGTAATGTGCGGGTGTGTATTGTGTGGGGCCCTGGCAGCTCGGCAGAAACACGACCCAAGCCCACCTACAGCCGCGTCTCAGAAAATGGCCAGCCCAATAGCGGGATCGTGATTACCCTGAAATGGGAGGATCCTTCCTTACTTTCTTGTAAAGCATCCGAAAAGGGAGACCCCCTGCTCCAAACTCGCACATCGAGCCGAGCATCGTCACCAGTGACACTGAGTAGGTACTGGGGAGCACCATGTTGGTGTGAACTTTCTCCTCGGCAGCTTGCAGAGTGCTCACAGTGTCGTGCAAGCAGCTTGTTCGTGGGAACACCGATCACTCGGCTTGTGCACTCTGCGCCAGTTCTCAGACCGAACCCAGCCGGGTGGCAATATTGATGTCAATGCCATCCACCTTTGCACTATCCACATGAGAATTTCAGAATGTACGGGACCCTACCAATGTGTAGCACACACCACTGCCTGTACTTGAAATTACTGCTGCGCTTGTTGCGAAACTGTACCGCTGTGCTTTTCGTTTTCAGTGGTGTTATGCCAGCACGATTATCATGACTGATCTTGCTGTGTTCCTGTTGTGGCCACTCTTTGCTGCTGTTCTTCATATTCTGCTTTCTGCTGATTGATTACGCAAGCTGGCCTCGTTGTCATGACGCAGCTTCTGCAGCGACAGGTCTACGATCTCCGCCATAGGTTCGTTCGGGCTCCTGCACGTAAGGCTTTGGCTGAGCCTTAGCAGCTTACATGGGGCTTGAAGCGAGAGGTTGGTGCAGCGCTGGAGTGAAGGTCTTTGGCCATACCCAACACCGGTATTGACGGTCTTGGCAACACTTGCATAAGGAGTGAAGGACTAAAACGAACGGGCTGTTCTGCAGCAGGTACAGGGATCAGATTCGGGCAGGTACGAGCTTTGGCGGCTCTCGCAAAACCGCCGCAGATTTCTGACCAACATCGAGTTGGCATGTTGACCACAGCCGTTCTTCCACAAACGTCTTGTTGCTGCCCAGATTTCGCCTCCTCTTCTGGGTAGTAAGCTCCAGACATTCCCTCGGGTGCTCTCGCCCCGTTGCAGAGAAGCTGTGGCGCCCTTACATGCCCCAGGGGACTTAGTATGTAGAGTTATAAGTAGAGTTATAGGTACCCTACATGGAGTTGCCCAAATAATAACCCCACTTAGAACCGACTTACTAAGTCCCCGAACCCTCCAAGGAACCTTACTTGAAGCTTCTGTGTTCAGGCGCGACAAGAGCCGACCCTTCATCAGCGACTCAACTTCTGGCCTTCGACAGCTTCACGTTGTACGTTACGGAAACTCTACAGATGCAATGGTACAATGACTCGACCCTAAACCCTAAACCCTAAACCCTAAACCCTAAACCCTAAACCCTAAACCTTAAACCGTAGAACACACAGGGGCGCAAGGCCCAATCTGCTTTGAGACAGGCCGCAAGCCGGAGGGAAGAGACGGCAGGCGTTCGAAATCGAAGAAGGGGGCAAAGGACCCTATAATTAGGTACTCGGTTTTGGGATAATAGTTATGTAGGGTTACTATTTTGGAGAGTATCTGATCGGATTTCGAAATGGAAGAAGGGGCTGGCTGGACAATGTCCACAGGAACTTGCAGAACTCCTGAGCCCACAGAGACTCCAATACCCCTTAAGTAGGGAATATACCTTAAATCATATTAGGGATCCTACAATAATTTAAGGTATATTCCGAAACCCTAAACCCTAAAACCTTATAGATCCCCTTTAAGGCTCCTGTAATTTAAGGTGTATTCCTCAATTAAGGAATATACCTTAAACTATAGTAGGGATCCTTAATATGATTTAAGGTATATTCCCTAAACCCTAAACCCTAAACCCTAAACCCTATACCCTAAACCCCAAACCCTATATTCCTCAATTAAGGAGTATCGGAGTCTCTGAGCCGTCGACTCTGAAGTCTCGAAACTCTCCGAAGCCGACGGATTTGGGAGACCGGAGGTAGCAGGGACTCAGGGAAAGGGAAGTCCCAAAGACATGGCAACAAGCACCCACTCTCTTAGGGTTTAGGGTTTAGGGGGTTTAGGGGTTTGGGGTTTAGGGTTTGGGGTTTAGGGTTTAGGGTTTAGGGTCCAAAACATGCAACAAGCACCCCCTTTCTCCGTGACAGCTCCGTTACTTCACAACCTCCCAGATTGCCAAACCCTAAGCTCTGGACCCTCGAACCTCAGCAGGCGCAAAGCCCCACAATGCAATCCCGAAGCCCTTAAGCCTGGACCCCCTAAACCTTAGCTCCCAAACTGAGAAGAAGTGCATCTCCTGCTATCATGGGCTTCATGCGCACCGGTCTGATCCGTCCTGGAGTCATTGAGCACTGATGAGCGGTGCTTGAATGTCAAACCCCACAACCCTGAACCCGAGCCCGAAACCCCAAATTAATCCCAAACCCTGAAGCCCTCAACCCTAAGCCTTAAACCTTGAATTACGGGTTGGGGGCAAACATAAATACGAATATGAATGTAAATAAATAAGTTGATAAGAATACATCAATAAATAGACATATATATATATATATACGCACACTTATGCGCACACACACACACAGAGACATTTCTGTCGTCCTTTTTTCCAAGTGCGGGACGATCTAATGACGCTTCTATCTCTGGAAAGCATGCTCGAAACCAAAGACTACAGTTCACATTCTGGTCCACCCTGTAAAACTCTGAACCTCGCCACCGTTAAGCCCTTGTTGAGCCCTTAACCCCTAAAGCCCTAGCACCCTAGCTTGCGGTGCTAGACCACGGAAGCCGCACAGCCCCAAACCTCAACGCCAGAGCCCTGGACCCTGAAACGAGCCCTTAATGTAAGGGCCTGAAGAATTAGAATAGGGTTTTGGGGTCCTTTATAGTAGGACTATAGTAAGGAACCCCCAAAACGGTATTGGTAATTATTGAAGCCCTATAGTACGCCGAACACTTCAACTGCGAACGCCTCGTACAGCCTCAGTGCCCTCGAGCACTCAGAGCCCCAACCTGACCCCAAACGACAGCTTTTTCACATCTGCTTGAACTTCGAAGGTATACATACCTACGTATACAGACACGTGTACAAACTATATATACCTAATATTCGCACGTACACATCTACCTACCTATCTATCTATCTATACACGTATGGTATGTTTTCGGCACACTGTAACATGTATGTCTGTATACACACATAGACAGATAGATGGAAAGATAGACAGATCGGTAGACAGACAGATAAATCAATTTAGTGTATACGCGACCATGTACCTTCTGCATCAGTGCATACCCACAAACATTCGTCTTTCGGTTGCAAGCGCGATTTAGCTTTTCAGGTGCACCAAAAAAGGGGAAACCCTCACATGCTCCTTAATCCTGTGCCCTAAACCGGAAAATCCTAAACCCTAAACCCTAAACCCTGAGCCCTAAGCCCTAAACCCTAAACCCTAAAGTTCCCCGAAGGCATTGGCCTTGAGCCCCCGGCACCTCTGCCCGAAACCTCCCAGCCTCGGTCCTAACCCGAAACCTGCAGTGAACCTGACTATGGGGGCCTTAAGAAGTAGAAGAGAGCTTGCGGGAAACATAACCTATAATCATACAAGGACTATATGGAAGGTTATTGCAAGGTATTTCCACCAACCTAAACTGTCCTCTCATCGACTTCGCCAGTCTGGTCAGAGTCCATGGCAGTAGCCTGTCCGGAGGACCAGATACTGCTGAATATCTCCCTACGGCACGACGACAACATTCTGCCGGGGTACCTGCCGTGACGCTGAGGTTATTGTAAGAGGCGTTGCCGGTGGTGGGTGGTGTCGGTGAGTAGTGAGATAATGGTTGACGATGATGATGATGGTGATGATGATGATGATGGTGATGGTGATGATCATGATGTGCTTGAGGATGCTCAACAACTGTTAAGGTGCCGTTCGTCTTGCTTGCGATGACTGTAGCTGACCACGGTCCGCGTATTCCAAGTCGGGAATGGTTGCACATTCACATCGATGACCATCAGCTGAAGGTTTGTCATGATCGGCATGATTACGTGTTCTTGGTCGCAATCAATGGCTGCTGACACTCTTCTACTTACGATTATGATGATCTTTGTCATGACACGCACAGACGTTCTTCAATCAATGGTTTTAGAACTCAGGGTTTGGGACTTGGGTCTGACATACGGGCTTAAGAAATAGAATAAGGCTTTGGTGTATATTTTACTATACTTGCAGCTAGGAGCCCTAAGGAATAAGACTACTACTTGTTAAGCTTCTGTACTAGGGTGATTATCCTGGCAGGGCTTCCAGCGATCTTCGGGCACCCAAGGTTTCCAGGGCATTCCGGTGTCGTTGTTGCAAGGAGTATCCCAGTGGACGTCTAGATTATACTAGAGGATTCTATGTACGGACTATAATGGGCCTCCAACCATGACCCTCCGAGTAGCGGTAATATAGCATACATCATACATACATATATATATATATATATCACGTGTAATGTCCAATATCATTTATACAGTAACATGCATCGTATATGAGGTACAGTAAATCGTGCTTGAGATATAAATCGTTAGTAAAGTTTTCCGACACGAACCTGATCCCATGTTGCTGCCGGTGTCCTGTGCCAGGGCGAATACCGCCAGAATCACAAGTTTCCGTGAGACATTCAACACTTACTTACCTTACTGGTGCTTAGGATAGTCCCCAATATGGATTATAATTGTAGCTTCCCTGCTGATAATCCTGAACCCTAAACCCATCAACCTCCAAGTACTAGAACCCTAAACCCTAAACCTAAAATCGTAGAACCCTGAGAGTAGCCACTTCTAGGACCCCTTATTGCACTAGCAGTCCTGAATCCACTATACTACTATACTTTGTAAACGAGAGTACGAAATTATACATGATATATGTATGATACATGACATGTCCACCTGCAGCACCAATATAGATTATAACTATAGTTTCCGTATATAACTACCCTGAACCCTAACTCTAAACCCTAAACCCTAAACTCTAAACCCTAAACTCTGAATCCTAAACCCCAAGTAAACCCTCCAAGTACCCATAGGCCCCATAGTAGTTCCTTTTTTGGATTACCTTCTAGGATTCTGAAAATATGAACCCCAAACAAAGGAACCGTCCCATGGGCCCAAGAGTAGTTCCTTTTTGGGATCACCTTCTAGGATTCTACATATGAAACCCAAGAAAGGAATCGTACCCTAGGCCCCATAGTAGTTCCTTTTTGGGATTGCCTGATAGGATTCTAAATATGAACACCCCAAAAAAAGGAACCGTAGGATTCTAAGTATGAACCCCGAAAAAGGAACCGTAGGATTCGAAAATATGAACACCAAAAAAGGAACCGTAGGATTCGAGAATATGGACCCCAAAAAAGGAACCGTAGGATTCTGAAAATATGAACCCCAAAAAAGGAACCGTAGGATTCTGAAAATATGAACCCCCAAATAAAAGGAACCGTACCCCCCCGGACTCCACCTGCAGCACCTTGACTCGGGGCTGCCTGGCCTGGTGCTCTTTGAAGCTGCGCGGGGTTGTTAGGACGGTTTACAGGTTCAGGGGTTTAGGGTTTAGGGTTAAGGGTTTAGGGTGTACCTGGACCCTGAAGAACCTACCTTTTTTAGGGTTCCTTATTATGTATTGTTTCTACAAGGCCTTAAAAAGGTA